TTTTTGAATTTTTTTTTTAGTAGAGACGGGGTTTCACCATGTTGACCAGGATGGTCTCGATCTCTTGACCTCGTGATCCACCTGCCTCGGCCTCCCAAAGTGCTGGGATTACAGGCCTGAGCCACAGCGCCTGGCCTGGTGGTAATAATTTCAATATTCTCCCTCTGCTCTGAGGGTGACTGCTGGGGTGTCTGTCTTTCATTCTGGACTTGTGTGCCCCTTTGTCCTTCTTTTGCAACCTAGTTTTTGTTTTCCTTGGCTTAAACATTTTATTTATTTATTTTCCATCGATATCAAAGCAGCACTGCTGGGCGCAGTGGTGTGCACCTGTAGTCCCAGCTACTCAGGAGGCTGATATGGGAGGACCACTTGAGCCCAAGAGTTTAACAACAGCCTGAAAAACATAGGGAGACCCCATCTCAAAACAAAACCAAATAAAGTAAAATAAAATATTCTCATTGTAGAAAATATGTTAAGTACAGGGATATAAAAAAGAAAAAATGAATTATAAACCCATTATCCAGAGACATTAATATTTCGGCATATTTCCTTCCATTTTTTTTTCTTTGTGTTCTTAACATATTTGAGATCATATTGCACTCAATTTACTATTGTTAATAATATCTATCTATCCATCCATCCATTCAAGGTAGCTTTTTCCAAAAAAAAAAGATCTAAGGTTCTTATTTAACATTATTCCTGATTATTTTCCCATGTCATTAGGATCTCTATACAAGCATCATTTCCCAAGTTAAAAATTATGTGCATTTTGTATTTTGATACATACTGCCAAAATAGTTTCCAGAAACATTTTATCAATTTCAGCTGCAGATGGTTTTAGAGAGCCCCCTTTCTCATTATCCTTGTCTCTTTTCTGGTCCATTTCTAATCATTTTTAAAACTCTGATTTTGCTGCAGACAAATGTGTTTTTTTTCCATTGAGTCAATGATTTTAAACTCCAGTAAATTCCAACCCCCAACTTGTCTAAAACTTAACTTCTCTTGACCCTAGAATTTCCTTCTTCTAGGGTGAGCTAACAGACTACAGTTTGTTTTCATTTCAGGGAGGTAAGGCAGTGAGATGAGCTTCCCTTCGATATTCAAATAACCAATATAATCCTAAAGACATCCTGTGAGAACTTTCTAAGAGTGGAGAGAAGAGCCTGGTTAGCTTCTGGGTTTCCAAAGCTCTCAGATCACCCTCAGCCACTGCACATGAATCTCCATAGAAACTGAAAGTTACACGTGGCCCAATTGTTCCAGGGTCCTCAGAGGAGTTCTCCCTCCTCCTTCCCCTCCCCTGATGGCTTCATGCATAACCAAGTAGCTTTGGAGTCAAGTACATCAAGACCTCTTTTCTAGCTTCTTGTTGAGCACTGTGTCACTGAAAATTCTAGTTCTTCCTTATTTTCAGTAGTTAGCAATCAGATCTCAGCAATCAGATCATTGCGGGGGGCAGAGAAGGGTATCTGTTAACTCTTTGGAGAACACCCAAACTTTGGTTTTCGAAAGCTGTATCTTCCCTTTATACCTAAGTCACTTCCTGTTATGGGTCTGGTCCCCTGAAAGGAAACTCTGTAGGAAATTTTCTCGAGTGGAAATAGCAAATCATAGTGATAATTTAAACTTGCACCAATCCCCCAGAAGTGGATGGAAAGTTACATTAGTTCACACCATAAAAAGTTTACAAAGAATTCCAGGCCGGGTAAGGTGGCTCACGCCTGTAATCCCAGCACTTTGGGAGGCCGAGGCGGGCAGATCACCTGAGGTCAGGAGTTTGAGACCAGCCTGACCAACACGGAGAAACCCCGTTTCTACTAAAAATATAAAACTGGCCGGGCGTGGTGGCACATGCCTGTCATCCCAGCTACTTGGGAGGCTGAGGCAGGAGAATCACTTGAACCCAGGAGGCAAAGGTTGCAGTGAGCCAAGATCTAGCCGTTGCACTCCAGCCTGGGTAACAAGAGCAAATTCCATCTCAAAAAAAAAAAATTCCAAACAAAAACATCAATAGCTATACGTAATGAAAATTGAGACTGCAACACAAACAAGCAGTTTAAATAGTTTGAATATAAAAGGAGTCAGAATATATAGGGAAAGCCCTAAGGGACACTGTTTGGGTATAATGCTTTAAGTTGCCATGAGTATTTGCATTTGGTGGCTTATTTGGAAAGTGACAATGTTTTATCAAATAACTGAGGCTCCAGAGAGGCTATAGCACTCTTGCTTCTGGGACTTGGCATGCAAAATGAGGGAAGGAACAGAGCCAATATGCAACTAGCAGGAAAGATGACAGCCTCTGAGCTGTGTAGATCCCCCCAGCCACTGGCTTTGCTGCTTCCCTGCCTCTAGACATGGATGGCATGAGATAGACACTTTCAGCTTTGAGAGGTGGGTTTCCAATGCTCTCAGATCACCAATAAATCAGAATTTCATTTGGAGTCTGGGCAACCCATGTAAGGATGTCTTGATCAGGGTCACCAATCACTTTTATTCTAAATGTCGTATCATTTGCTCTAGGTAGGCCCTCTGTGGGACATCGGCAGGTCTGAGGCAGAGTAAAAAAAATAGCAAATACTGAGATCTAGCGCTTACTATTGCCAGGCCCTGTTTTAAATGCTTTATAGGTATTTACACATTTACTGTTCATGACCACCTTATGGGGAAGATATTAGGCAAGCAGGGAGAAGGAAAGGGAAAGGGAAAGGAAAAGGGAAAGAGCAGGGGAAGAAAGGAATAAGAAAAAGTCAATGCAATTCAGCAATTATTTATTAAGTGCTAACTCTATGTCAGAGTCTATGGTAATCAACAAAACAGAGGAGGATATAATGAAGAGGGGATACAGGTAGAGAAAGGAGGACCAGTGGGAAGAGGAGGAGGATGGAGAGGAGGAAAGGGAAGGAGAAATAATGAAGACGAGAAAAGCAAGACATGCACATGGAGGGCCATGGTAAGAGGAGAAAGAAACCTTTGCCACGACCTCAGGGGTTGGCCACACTGTCTGGGCTGAGGCACAAGCTGCTTTCTCCTGGCCCAGTCTTTTACCCACTGTTACCACGAGGTTGGCACAGCTTCAACACAGTCTTTTCAACAAGCCAGCTCTGAGCCTGGCAACATTTGGCCTGGTAGAGATCAAGGCAGGTAGCTTACACCCCGGTCTAGCCAGGCCTTTCCCTAGCTCACAGAGGTCAACTGCATAACGTGGAGCGTGAGCTTTTTCCGTGTTCTCAGAGAATCTGCCTCTTAGTATCTCTTTTTCTAAGGGCTTAATTGACCCATGTATCCCTATTGAGTCTTCAAGCACTATTTCGCAGAAGGGCTTGTTTTTATCCCACTGCTCCTTGCAATATTACTTTTCCGCTAAGTTTGGCAGAGGTACCCCTTTCTAACACTTGCTACCTGTTCGGATGGTCATGTCATGTCACATTTTTCTCTTCCTGTTCCCTCCACCCACAGCCCTTATAGGAAAAGACCCCTTCAGCCCCTCTGATCACCAGAAGGGACTGCCAGGGCCTTGTGCTGATGACACTCCCACCCTCCGTCAGCCTCCTCTGCTAGCAGATAAATGGCACCAGCCATGCTTTCTGTCTGTTTTTAGGGGTCCCAAGAAAGGTATATTGCTGCTGCTGCCCAGCCCCTGCCATACCCCAGACCCACCTCAGTCCTGACTTAATGCAGGTAGCTTCCCAGGTGCATTGAGATGCCAGGACTTGGAAGGTGGGACTTGATCGCAGCAGACACTGGCCCTGGAGACATATTCTTACAGTCCAGAGAGGAAGGACAGTCTGAGCAAACCCCACCCTTTCACAGCCACTCAGTTCCCTTTTTTTGTTTCCTGACCTAAACCAATGTCTTTTTTTCTTCTCAGCAGCATGCTATCTGGTTCCCTGCTGCTGTCCCTATTCCACCCCCTCAACTGTCCCCGCCCTTCATTTGCTTGGGACCTCTGAGGCTATCTTGAGTTTGTCTCTGAAAGAACTTCTCAATATGACTGGGGCCACTGAGACTCTAGATGGGGCTGGCCTGAGCAGACAGGTCATCAGGCTGCCCTCCCAGAGGTAAAGGGAAAACATACCTAAAGTACTGCGAGGACAGTCAGCACTGGGAGAGGGTCTTACAGGAAAGAGAAGAGATGCTGGGGGCTGGCATAGACAGAACAAAGAGACTGGCCAGGAAGATCGTTTTTCTCCAGTCTCCTGTCTTCCGGGGCAGAGAAGTGTTAGGGACACACAGTTGAACTTGATAGCGAAGGGACCCCAAAGGACAGAACCAGACAGAGGTAGAGACAAGACTTCCCCCTGTTGAGTCATTTTCTAAGAAAGCATTTTTTCTCCTACAGATAAAAATGTCAGAACGTAAGCCCACAGAAACACTTGTGCCCTTCCCCAATTTCTGTGGATGTTGATTTTCTCTATTTAAGATTCGGCCTCAGGGGTTTCTCTTTAATCATGTAAATCAGTAAAGCAGACTAGATGTGTCACTTGAAGTCTGGATGTTTTCTCAACAGTCCCCTATTTTATGCTCCAACTGCAATGTTCCCCTCAGGGATTCTCCTAGGAAAGGCAGCCAGTATTGAATGCAGACCAGGACGGGTAGAGCCCGTGCTAACTGATCTGCCTGCCCACCTCGACACCTCAGGCACTGACATATTTCCTTGTCCCAATGCACTGTAACCTAATGTAGAAACAGATCACAGATCACACTACATGTTCATCTGAACTTGTAAGTCAACAGGACCTTATTTTTTTCCTTAATTTTGTCTAAAAAACCAAAAACACCACCAACAAAAAACAGATACACGTGCAGAAGGTGCAGGTTTGTTACATAGGTATACGTATGCCACGGTGATTTGCTGCACCTGTTGACCCGTCCTCTAAGTTCCCTCCCCAACCCCTCGCCACGCACCCCCTCAAAGGCCCTGGGACTTTTTTTTTGAGACAGGGTCTTGCTTTGAAGCCCAGGCTGGAGTGCAGTGGAGTGATCATGGCTCACTGCAGCCTCCACCTCCTGGGCGCAAGCAATCCTCTCATCTCAGCCTCCCTTGCAGTAGCTGGGACTACAGGCATGCATCACCATGCTGGGCGAATTTTTGTATTTTTTGTGGAGATGGGGTTTCACTATGTTGCCCAGACCGGTCTCAAACTCATGCACTCAAGTGACCCTCCTGCCTCGGCCTCCCAAAATGCTGGGATTACAGGGGTAAGCCACCCCTCCTGGCCATCAAGATGACTTTAAACAAAAATGTTTAAAGCATTTGTGTAGGATGCTGATAGAGTGGTTGATCCTCACATTTGCACAAGATAGATGGACAGCATGTGTTGTGTGATTGCGTTACTTTATTGACAACTTACATCCTTTGGCTAGTCACTCCCAATAGCTGCTCCACTCACCTGCCAGAGAGTTGGCCACAGGCATTCACCTTCCCTCCTCTTTTGTTCAGTCTTATGCCAGTTGTTGTCACATGCCCTGTCCCTTCTCAAGGTACATCTTGGGGTGGGAACTGGGAGGTGATAGACATCCAGTAGGAGATCTAAACAAGAGAGAGAAAGGAGCACAAGGGAAAGGAGCATGTAGACGTAGGCTCTTTTTCACCCTCTGCCCATGACTGCTCCCCTAGCACACTCGTCCATACTGACAGGAGGACTGTACTCAGCGCAAATGAACAACTGAGTGTCATCTGAACAGATTCCCAGTGCAATATAAGGTTCTGTTCTTGGTGCTATCCTGTTCAACATTTTTATTGATGACCTTTGAGGAAAATATAGAAAGTAGCCCAGTTTATCTAAGAATGGTGCAAGGCTCTGTGTGCTAGGCTGGATGACAGAAGAGGGCAATTAGTTTCCAAAAAGGTCTTGATCACCTGGTGTGAGAAGCCAAATTCCACAAAGTGTATTTTACCAGGGCTAAAGGTGATGTCTCATAATTGGGCTCCAAATTTGAACTTCAAATGACTCCAGGAGAAAGTGGAGTAGCAGTAGCATTTGTGAAAACAGTTCAGGGGTTTTTTGATGATAGTAATCAAGAGACATGTCATGTCAGTTAACATGGCTGCCAGAAAAGCCAAGGTGACAGCCAGGCATGGTGGCTCATGCCTGCAATACCAGTACTTTGGGAGGCCGAGGTGAATGGATCACGAGGTCAGGAGTTCGAGACCAGCCTGGCCAACATAGTGAAACCCCAACTCTACTAAAAGTACAAAAATTAGCCAGGTGTGGTGGCGCAGGCCTGTAATCCCAGCTACTCAGGAGGCTGAGGCAGGAGAATCGCTTGAACCTGGGAGGCAGAGGTTGTGGTGAGTGAAGATTGTACCATTGCACTCCACCCTGAGCAAAACTCTGTCTCAAACAAACAAACAAAAGCCAAGGTGACACTGAGGCTTCCTTATATAAGTAACATGTCTAGACAGAGGAAGGCAAAGCAAAACCACACCTAGAGTCATGCATTCAGTTCTAAGTGCCTTGTCTGAGGGGAAATTAATGAGCAGGAGCATGTCCAAAACAGAGAACAGCTCAAAGGATCCTCCCACCTCAGTGTCAGCATTGATGTACAAACTTCACTTATAGAATGTATAAGCTGTGGGGATCTAATGTACAAAATAGTGACCATAATTAATAATACTGTATTATTGAAATTTGATAAGAGAGCAGATTTTAAGTGTCCTCACCACCCCCATGGTAACTATGGATGGTGATGGATGATGGATGTGGTAATCAATTTGACTATGGTAATCAATACACAGTGTATACACATATCAAATCATGTTGTACACCTTGAATATAAGTAATTTTTGTCAATTAAATATTTTAAAATAAACAAAAACAAACAAAACCCCCACAAAACCATATAAAGCGAGGTATAATAGAACGAAGGTTGGTTAAATGAAGAGGAGCCATGTTCATGGACTTCACATTTCCGTGTTACTAACATAAACCCCCAAAGGCCAGTAAGATTGCTTAAATATCTGGAAAGGAAAAGAAAATGCTTGCAGTTTGGCAAAGAAACTTTCAAGAAATGTAGCAGGTAGTGGTAATGTTTTTATTATCTTATTCCCAGAGACTACCTAACAAAAAAAGGGGTGATCAGAGTGTCAGCTCTGGACCCATGCATGTTCCTAGACGGTTATGCAAGCAAGATACCCCAGACTCTCATGGTTCTTCAGCCCCTATTCCACTGCCACCTTCTGTGCCTCAGCTCAATTCCGTCTCCTCACCGTCATATACACTGCAGACGCCCCTGCTTCCTTTGTATGATGTAGTGGTGAAGTGCAAGGATGTAGTGTTACACTACCTAGGATCAAATTCCAGCTCCACAAAAAATAACCACCTGTTTGACTTGGGGTAGGTGAACTTTTTTTTTTTTTTTTTTTTTTGAGACAAAGTTTTGCTCTTGTTGCCCAGGCTGGAGTGCAATGGCACAATCTCGGCTTACTGCAACTTCTGCCTTCCAGGTTCAAGCGATTCTCTTGCCTCAGCCTCCCAACTAGCTGGGATTACAGGCATATGCCACCATGCCTGGCTAATTTTGTATTTTTAGTAGAGACGAGGTTTCTCCATGTTGTTCAGGCTGGTCTCGAACTCCCGACTTCAGGTAATCTGCCTGCCTCGGCGTCCCAAAGTGCTGGGATTACAGGTGTGAGCCACTGTGCCCAGCCAGGGTAAGTGAATTTAACATCTGTTGTGTTCCAGTTTCCTAACGTGTTAAATACTAATACTGGTACATACCTCCTGGGGTTGCTCTCAGGATTAAAAGGGGTAGTATACAAGGTGGTTGGGAGAATGCCTGGCATATAGTAAGTGTGCTGTAATTTTTTAGCTATGATAATTACCAGGCCACAGCAGCAGTATTTTAAAATGGTAAAGGAACCCAGGGTCTGGATTCAGTCTACCTGGGGTTGTATCCTAGATTCACTAAATACTGTTGACACTGGGCAAATCATTTAACATCCTATGGCCTCAATTGCTTCATCTGTAAAATGGGAATAATTGTACCACCTGTCTCCTAGAATTACTATGAGAATTGTATGACACAATCGGCTTAAAATGCTTAGCACTCTGCAGTCTTTGTATGCTGGACTCTCCTGAAACCTAGTACATGCCTTCTGCCAGGTACGCAAGGAAGGGAAAAGCCGCTAGATACTTTCTACTTCTAGGCTTGGTGATTGCTATTACAGGAGCCGAACAATTTCAGTGTCACTTTTCAGAACCTAGAGCAACTGACTTACTCCCTTAACAGAAGGGTGCTGCTTTAAGGCCATTGTTCGTTTTCTTCAAAGTACTTAGTTCATAACTGTACATTTATAAGCCTATTAGATTACTGTATTCCTCCCCTGGAACAGTGCCTGACACGTACTGGACATTCAATAACCATTTGTTGAATGGAACAACTGGCCATGTGATAGATGAACTGGAGCAATTTGCTTCCTCCAGGCCTTCACTGAACCAGCAGTTTGCTGTAAAAGGTGTTCCCAGTGACCTTGAGGTGGAACACGAATGGAACGTGGAGGTGGAGGACCCCTCCGTTCGACCCTAGTCCTGGCTTCCTTTGGGGACGGGGAGGCCAGAGGATCTGGAAAAGCACTGCTCCCTTCACTGAACGCTATTACGTGGCAGCGTCCCTGAAAAGAGATAACGAGACGAAAAGTTGCAAAGCTGCGGGGCGGGAGGAAGTCGGGGCAAGTGGACCACCCTTTAGGCGTAGTCCTTCCTTAAGCTCCCGCTCGCGGCTCCGAACTGAGTCCTCTCAACGCCGGAGGGCGCTGCGCTGAGCCTTACACTCTATGATTGCTCCTACGGACTCCCATGAGGA